AGTATCCTGATCTTTTTATTTTTTGGAGAGAAGTACCTTTCGGATGCCCCCCGACCCCGACCTGTTGCGCAGGCCTTAGTTCTGCAAGCACAACTTTTGAATATGTGAAACGCGCGCCACACACGCCACGCGGAGTGAAACGACCGATAAACTATTCGAAACTGCATGCGCGGCTGTGCCGCAAAAGAGTACACCTGCCTACCGGGTCGCGAATACCGGGTCAGGTCCTGTACGTGACGCTAGCGTGACGCGTGCCGGACTGGCTGCCCGTCGCGTCACGTCACCGTCACCTCGCCGTCACCTCCCCGACACCAGCGAAGCAGATGGAAACAAATGATGCGCGAGCTCTGCTGCTGCACCGCACCGCCTGAGAGGAGGGGGGACTCGGTGTCGGCGGCGAGGAGACGAGAGAGAGAGTGACGAGATATTTGAAGGATGAGCGCGAAAATTTGCGCCAATTGACGGAAAAAAATGGCCGACCTCGACGGGCGGCCAAGTGAAATAATAATTTAGACGGTCTTGTTTGAACGGCGGCGCCTGCTGCTGCTGCTGCTGCTCCGCTCGGCCCTCTAGGCCCTCGTGCGTGTGGGAGGACTGGCCGCTGGGCTTGACAGCTCTCGTCACCGTGCGCGGCGCGTCTCTCCCCGTCTGTCTCTCTCGCACTCACTGCGCCCGCGGGCCTTCCTAAGCCCGTGTCCAAAGAGTGCCCCTTCCTTTCGCTGCCCGCTATGCTGCTCCTGTTTTGACAAGAGGAGCGCGCGGGTTATTAAAGGGGCGCGCTTTTTCAAACTGCTGCGGCGGCAACATCAACAACAGTGGCACCGCGATGGAATGGGATCAATGAAGCCCTTCTGTCCTGTCATACTGCTGCCCGCTGCCCGGTCCCGAGGGGGGCGAAGGCCGGCCGAAGGACACGGCGGGCAGAGCCGGGCAGAGCAACAGCGGCCGTGGCAGCAGCAGCGTGACGCAAGGAAAATAAAACCCGCAGATGTGGTGCGCCCTTTATTGTGCCATCATGTCCCGGGAGAGTGAATAAAACAACATTTGTGACAGGATTCAAACCCGCCCCGCCACCGCCGCCTGCCTGCCTGCCTGACCCTCGCGGCCCCACCCGCAGCGCGTCTCCGAGGGAGCGGACATGAGGGGGACGCGGCGGCCCGCGGGTCCCCGAAAGAAAAACTCATAGCTGTAACTAGTAAAATAAAATCAATCAGGGCTTGTTAGCGGGCGTGGCGCTGTGTGGCGCAGCGCTGAGCAGTCGGGCGGCTGGCAGTGGCCTTACGCCCGCCTGAGTCTCTGTGTGTGTGTTTAACAAGGCCGCTAACGAAGCTAAGTGCTAACGAAGGGATTCTCTCTCCAACTTTGTGAGGGACGGCGGGGGCGGCGCGGCACGTCGGCCGGGGTGGGGGCGACGAGGTGAAGCAGGTGACGAGCCAAGCGGCGCGAGCCGGTGCACTGCAGGCTCAGGTCCCGAGAACACGGTCAAATGCGGGCGAACGAGCGATGCGCCCTCATGTAAAAGTGCAACGTTTTCCATACAAGGTCGACGCACGTTAAAACCGTGTGAAGCTGAGCTTAATGTGCGTCTACCTTGGCCTGCGGCGCGCTGATATTAAAAATGTTTTCGCGATTTTGGTTGGCATGCCTGTCCACCTCACATCCGACGTCTCACGCAGGCGCCTCACTTCACGCCGTCTTCCGGGCGGTCTCCCCTTGCGCTTCCTGACAGAGCATTTAAAGTTAAAGTTTAATTTCAAGTTCAAGTTAAGCTCAGCCATGAGGAAGCTGCCTCAGAAGAGGAACAAGATAAAGGTATCCCTGAGGAGGTGGCGTGGCCTAGCGCCGTCGCCGTCCTTTAAACAACTCGTCCCAGTGTCGTTGTCTAGGTTAGTGTACGGACATATTGCATTGATTGGTACAATTTCAACTCATTGATAATGTGACTCCACATTCGTAGTAAATCTTGTTAATTTGGTGCCAAGGCCGTACCAAGGTGCAATAGGTGCATAGTCCCGTTCTGAACTGTTTGAAATCTAACGAAGCGCAACCTAACCTCTGCTAGACTGCAGTTCAATAGACCATTCCGCTGAGCCGAAAAAGAAAGAGAGAAGGAAGAAGCAAAGGTGTCGTTTAGGGCTGATAGGGCCGATTTGTGAGTGATTTGTTGTCTGAAAAATATCACATTTGCTCTTAAAAATCATTTTGAATATGTAAGATTTGTAAAATGCTGTTAGAAGGTCCATTAAGTTCAAAAAAAATATATTTGCTTCTTCCTTCTCTTCTTCTTTTTCGGCTTAGCTGAATGGCTTTCGCTTTGTTAAGGGACGGCGAAGAAGAGGGACGTAGGATGGGGGGCGATTAGAAGGCAGTGCTTTTCCGGTTTGTTATTCTTTTCTTCCTTTTATCACCTAACCTGGAATGGTCTATTGTTGCTAGTGAAAGGAAAGCTTAAATCGACCAAATTTCGACGATGCATGTCTGGCTGGGGATCGAGACAAATCTGTACTTTTACTTTTACATGTCTACTGTGCCGCTGCCACTTAGTCGAGAGCCACCTAGTGGAGAGTCGCCTGGCGGTGAGGAAATGGAGAGCCACCTCCCGCGACCCGCAGGCAGGTGGTCCCCACGCTGCTGGGGGTCCTGACAATGCCCCCCCCCCCCCCGTCACCTTTTTCTTTACGTCCTCGGTGCTTTTGTTTGTTTTGCCACAACCAGATCTTTGTCAACGAGATTGAACCTAATACCTCCTACTGCTAAAGGAGTTTCAGCCAGCGTAAAAGTGATGACCCACCAGGCAAATAATGATCATCATTCAATAGACGACAACACCGCAAAATAAATGACAAATATAAAAGTGATGACTTGTCACGGTGCGGCGAGGCGAGGAGGGGCGTGTTCGGCGAGTGCGTGTCTCGGCGGGGCGAGGAGATATGGCTAATGCGGGGTGATTCATGGGCACTCGGCGGGTACCGAGCCGGTAACCAAACGGGTACCGAGGAGGGAGGAGGAGTATCGTCTCCGCTTGCATCACGCCCCGACACGTGACGTATCACTTTCACTCGAACCGCACCAGACTGGAAGTGACCGAATGACCGGCCGACACGCCGCGGCGGCAGCGGCGGGCACGACGACACGTCGGCAAACATAATCAATGAGTGTTTATGCCCACCGCACCGCCGCCCCTGACCGCCAGGCCACGCCACCTCACGGCGACACAAGTATCGTTCGGAAATTAATTGTAGTAGCTTGATGCTTAGAATAATAATCTTGACTCCGTTTTTATTTTTAAAGTTGTTGAAAACATTCACAGCAAACATACGGTATTCTCGTGAAGTTCCCGGTTGCTTCCGGAAAAATTCCCGGTTTCCTCTGGTGCATGCGCGGAGCACAAGTTGACGAATGTCCATGTTTTACTAATTTTGTATTTTTGGTGGTTTGTGAGCCTAGCAGGTAGAAATGAATTTGGGCCGTCCTCAGATTTGTTTTATAACCTGTTGTGAAATCACAGAGTTCCCTCAAATGCGCGTGTTTTCCTCAAAAATACGTACATAACCTATAAATATGAGGCGGGAAAAGCGCACCGGGAAGTGCTTCCACGAATCAACGGGGGACTTCGCAGGAATATGTTTGCTGTGATTTTTTTAAATGGCTTTAAAATTTATCTATCTTGATCTATTTATTTCAAATCTACACCTGTAAATGGCCACTACGAGGGATGAGGTCTGCGCCGCTGTGCCTCGCGGTGCCTCGCCGCTCTGTGGTCTGGCTGGCTGTAATGAGATGTCAACGCCCCGCCTGCATTGTGCGGCCCCGATGCCTCACGAGTCACGCCCTGGTCTCCAGCAAGCTCTACGACAGAGCTCTCAAGTGAAGCTTTTCATGGAGCTCTCCGGCGAAGGTCTCCAGTCGCTCTCCGGCGAAGGTCTCCAGTGGAGCTCTCCACTTGAGGGCTCTAGTGGAGCTTTCCTCTCCAGTAGAGTTCTCAGTGGAGCTTTCTCTAGAGGTCTTCAGCGTGCTCTCCGGTAGAGCTCTCCTCTCCAATAGCGCTCTATGAAGCTCTACAATGGAGTTCTCCAGTGGAGCTCTCCAGTGGAGCTCACCGGTGGGGCTCTTCCGCCCCTCACTGCAGCCGGAGAGGCCAACAGCGTCGTCGTCGCGGGCGATTGAATTTCAGTGCAAGCAGCGCGTGAGGTGCTGGAAAATGATGAATATGTATGTGTGTCAGCTGTCTCATAAAAAGGCATGCCTGTGTGTGTATACCTTACCTCATCCGCTTGGTTTTCTAGTCATGAACCCCACCCACCCTCCCCCTCAAGCTGGTGCGGTTATAAGCTCGCGCCTTGCAGCGCTATAGGTCCCGATGCGCGGCCGCGCGGCCTCCAGGTCGCCTGGATGTCGGGCCGGCCGCCGACGGGGAGGTCAACGTCGTGACGATGAGTGATACCGGACTTTTGGAATGTTAATCCAGGCTCCTTGCTTGTTCCAGGTGAGCGTCGTCATCGCCGTGGAGCCCCTCAGGAGCCTGCAGAGCCTGCAGAGCCCCCGCGGCCTTGCGCGTCGGTGAGTACACACCCGGCCAGGGGCCCCGTTTGGCGCAATGACCCCCCGAGGGGCCCCGGCCCCCGGCCAGCAGGGACCCCGCGGGGGGAGGCCCGGGGGGGCAGGGACCCGGGCCGACGCGCCGCCTGCCAAAATTAATACAGTATGGTGTGTCCGTTACTCGAGTAGAGTGTACCATTGTGCAGAGCCCCGGCGTGGCTAGCCGGGGCGTGGCGAGGCGTAGCGGGGCGTGGCGTAGCGGACAGCCGGCGGCAGGGCCAAGACACACCGAGCACCACACCCCCAGACTCTCCCTCTCAAATTCAATGATCCTAAAATTAACGCGGGGTGAGGAAACCATGTAACCCTGCTGGTGACTGAGGGTGAGCGGTCTGGTCAGCCTGGCCTGGTCCGGTCCAACCCCTGCCAACACTCGTTGTTGCCATGACAACGCGCCGCTCGCGGCGCGGACATGCTCGCGCCCCTCGCGCCGTGCTGTCGGGCCTGCTCGGCCCACGTCAGGGCCTCGTGGAGGGGGCTGGCGACCCCTAGCGGACCCGCCGCGCCTCGCCTCGCCGCCGACCCCGAGCCGGACCCTGACCCTGCCCCCGACCCGCAGCCCGCCGACCCGGCTGGACTCGACCTTGACCTAGGCCGCGGCGGCGCCGAGCGCGGGGAGGGGGTGGAGCAAGAGCACGCCGGGGAGCAGCGTCTCGCGCACGGCCACCGCGTCGACGCAGCAGGTGGGGGAGCGGCGCGGGCCGGGCGGGCGCAGGGGTGGCGTAGGCAGCCGGCCGCGCGCCGCTGCGATCCCAGCAGCCAGCTGCCTACCCGGCGGGGGCGCTGGACCTGCAGCGGGCGCGTCGCGGTCGTTTTGGTCGCGCGTAGGGCGGCATGATCGGCCGTCGCGCTGTCCGATTGAATCAGAGGGCGTTGAAGTCATCGCTGTCTCTCTCTGTCTCCCTCTCCCCCCATCTCTTTCTCCTTTTCTCGCGCTCTCCCTCCTATTGCAGCCCGTAGAGCGGTGGCGTGTGAAATGGACGAAGTGGACAGGACGCGGTCTGCCCCGCCGCGACGGTACTTTGTACTCGGCGCTGCTCGGTGTCGTGCCCTCCCCTCCCCTCCTTCCCCCTCTTCCCCGGGACACTGCTCCCTCCTATCGCTGCGTGGTCGTGGCGCGGCGGCGCGGGGCGGTTGTACCTTCGACGCGCGCGCCTCTCCGCCGCAAGACCCTGCCAAGGCTCGCAGCCACGGCACGGCGGACCGTCGCCGTCGGGACAGAATGCGTTATGCGTGTTCGGTGGTCGTTCGCTAGAGAGGAGCGCCGTCGAGTCGCCGCGCCACGATGTCTTGCCCCCCCCC